AGTTCTTTCTTGGCATCTTCTGAATCATTAAAAATAAAATCCTTATGAGGGCACTGGCAAGTGGTTAGCAAAGCTCATTATGGCAGCTTTCTACATTCAGCTATTAAAGCAATAGAAGTCAGGATTGAAATGGGAAGAGATAATTGTATACTTTAGGAAAAGTAACTCTCCAGTGACGGTCCTGGGAAGCCCGGCGAGCTAAGCTGTTTCCCTTCAAAGCAAAGAACCATGCGGGCAGGCCTCCCCGGCACATCGCTCTTACACTCCTGAACACAGTAACCCTGCAGGCAGGGAGCCCTCCTGCTAAAAGTGCATTACCCAAATCTTAAAAAAGAGTCTGCAATACATTATGGGTGAGATTCTGTTGCCCGGCCCTTGGCTGGGAGCGTGGCTGTATTTCTTGAAGCATAGGATGCTGTGCAGTGTGGAGGGAGTAGCAGAATCTGGGCACATGAAGTAGTTAAAATAATTGTGGTCTTCTGAAAATTCCCGGTAATACTCGGATTACTGTTTGAGTTGTTTTTTAATTAGTGCTATATATTGAATGGACATTAGTGCAGAAGATTTCATCTGCAGTATCTCTGTCTCATTTAATAGCTTTTAGGATTATTGTATTTGAAGACTTATATACTTATATACCATTTCACAAGCCTATTGTCAATCTTCTAAATGTATTGAAGATGATTATGGAATGAAATCTACCTCTGTGGCTTTTGTGACATTATCTTCTTCAAATGAATTGAATGCCACCTTTGCCTCATTTCTTCCAGCCCTGCTGTATTTCTGTTCTATGAAACCTCGCCGTTAGCATTCTGAATGTGTTGATTCTGACATTATCCGTCACTTTCCATTTCAGTTTTCTCAAGGTGAAATCTCTCTGCTAATTCAAAAAACTATCTGTCTTCATTATATATAAATGACTTTGCCCAAAGACTAAAAAACCTATATGTAAGATAAGGGCTAAGCCACATTTTGTGCCAGAATAGTAAATGCAGGGGGAAAAAGGGGTAAGGAAGGAAGCATAACCATTTAACATTTTCTTTCTGTTTTTTTCTGGGGGGAGGGAGGGTTTGAAGCTTATTTTCCAGGAAGGTACAAGTCTAATGAGCTGAGAACTTTTTCCTTAAATAATTGTTTTCCTGGATCTGGGCATTTTTTTAAAAACACCGTCATCATGCTTTAAATAACCATGGTTCCAAATGAACATAGCAATGGGGAAAAAGATCCTATTCTTAACTGGCTTGGAAGGATAACAGGGAGTAATTCTTGCACAGCTAATATTTTTCATATTCATTAAATATGTTTGCTCAGTAAGCCAGACATTTTATTGTGTACACTACACTAGTATATTAGAATTACTCTGATGTCTTTCTTCAATCTCATGAATTACTTCATGAACTACCTGCTTGATCAGTGAGACAGTAGTAATGATGAATGCATCTGTTTATTCCTAGAAAAAGTATCAACTATTTTTTAATTAGGGAGTGGCACTGTTAATTGATGGGTGCCCTCTGTGTTCTATGTGTTCAGCAGAACCTTCCTTGCTGTTTGTTATTACTAGACCTAGAGAAAGCTGGACCAGTGCAGAGTTCAGGTCTGTTCGATGCTGGTGCTGCCTTTCTGGCAATTAACATGGCTGTGAATACAGTAGACTGGACTTTATTTTTCATGGCATTCCATTTGGTCCAGCTCAGGAAGGTTTTTGCCTGAAGACAAAAAGACACGTTTTGCTTAGTATGTAAATTTGAGCTCCCAATTTCTCATAGCTACAGAAATACAAACTAAAATCAAATCTCTGCATTTAATGACCTCAGTGAGTATAAACCAGTCACACCTTGTCCTGGTTTCAGCCAGAATAGAGTTAATTTCCTTCATAGAAGCTAGTGTGAGGCTATGGTTTAGATTTTCTTCTATGAAGAAAATTAACTCTATCCTGGCTAAAACCAGGACACACCTGTATAACCTTGCTTTCCATCAGCAAAAAATAATCAAATAACCAGTGTGAGAGAATTCATCACTGAATCTACAGTATAGATGACAGTAAGGCAGAGGTCTCTTGAGGGGTTCTGTTCCTCATTTTACTAGTTACCAGTTTACTAGATGGGAATTTTCCTGAATGAATACCTCATAGGTGATAACCATGGGAGGTGGTGATAGCTTTAGATGCAGAGCAGATTTGGGAGCGAGAACCACATCTAAATAAGGAGAACAAACTGGGGGGCATAAAGGGCATATGGAAGTACTGGAAATGAATTTACTATTTTAGCATCGTACCAAGTGTTGTCCCTTACACTTAAATAGAATTTCATTTATAGTATCATCTGAATGGCTGTGATTTCACTAGTTTGGCAGCAGATTCTACCTATGGAGCCTTTCCAACCTCTGCTCGGCTCTTTTTTTAAAATTCCGTGCAGGTATAAGCAGCTTTAGGTTTTTTTTCTAGCTATCAGAAATGCATTCAGAAGTTGAAAAAACGGAGGGTTCCCAGTATTTCTTGATAATAGAAGCTTTGCACAGTAATGTTCATATTTCATGGTAGTCATAAAATGCGTGGAGTCAATTTTATCTGCAAGTGCTCATGTGTCTCAAGGACACCAATTCATGCACTCTCCATTTATCAATACATTTCATAGTTTAAACATGAATATTTGATTATTCTGATCAAACGTAGAACTCTAGGTAATTATTAGTTTATTTAAGCCAAAGAAACACATTGAATTAATGCCTTGACTGTTTTATTCATTGGCTGTTTTCCATATTAGTGTAGATACACATCTTTTGTAAAAACAGAGGAAGGGACAGCAGCGCTTACCATCGAAGCGGCAACACAGAGAGAGGGAAGTCACGCACTGGAGCCTTCCTAGGCAGCAGGATAACTTCAGCCAGCTTGCTGTCCCTCAAAGCAGCAGTCTGCTCTTCCTCTCAGTTTTAGCAGCTTGTATCAGTCCTCTGGTACTGATACTGATCCTGCCTTCAGCACGGGTATTTGTGTGGCTGGGCACATGCTGTTGGAAAAAGAGCTGGATTAAAACTAGCTCAGGAAAAG